TCGTCAATGTTTTGATTATTTTTTCATTAAATAGTAGCAAATATTACGTAAAATCATTATTAATCTGAATAATTGAAACCTTCACTCTTTAGTATAAACTCTAAACGTCATGCATATATCATGGGAAGCGGCCTGAACTTAAATGTAGTTCATAGACCAACTATGGTTTAATTTTTGGTTCTTACTAATAAAAGATTGAAAAAACACAGAAAATACTATTTTTACAAAATGATTAAAAGACATAATTATCTACACTAATCTTTAAAGAAATTAAAAAAAAAAAAAAATAGGTGGCGTCACAAGAATCCAATGTTAGTAAAGCTTCTTTTAAAATCCATTAAGTTTGAAATTGATTATAAAATAATCAAATTTATAAAAACATTCCAAAAGCTAGGATGGGTTAGCTTTTAAAAATCTGATTATTTGTAAAGCTGATTTTACATTATAAAATGAAAAATATACCCATATATGATACCTCAAATTACAAAATTAATTTAAATAAACATTTAATTCATTCAATAAATAACTCATAAATTAATTATAAATTTAAAAAAAAAAAATTGAAATGTCAATGGTTTCTGGCACCACCATTGACTAGCAGTCAACTGATGATCAATGCCAATCAATGGTGGCAAATTAGCACCACATCTAGTCCCATAGGACTAAAAGTAGCTGATTTATAGTAGTATGCTGAATTCAACTAGAGAAGACGATATAATCCTTCATGGTCTTCTGCAGCTACAATCAACTTCAGAATCTGGTTATTCAGTGGGTTACTGTGGATTAGGACATTCTAGTCCTCATAGAACCAACGGTCGTGCCACCATTGACTAGCGTTGACCATCAATCAGCAACATTGACTGTCATTAATTGGCACTCAAGGATAGGCATATATTACAAAGGCTTAAAAATATCGTGCTTCATAATTTAACTGCTTTATTACCTTTATTTTTTCTTACAATATTTAATTATTGTATAACATGTGGGCATTGTTGCTATAGACTCAGAAGATTCAGAAAAAAAACCTATCAGTTAAGTTATTGCAGAATCTCAAGCTGAGACCAGAAGAGGAGAAGCTGCTGTAATGTGATTTTCAAGTAAAGAAGAGTGTGTTGGGTTACTCAAAAGTCGGTTAAGTTAGGTAAAGTTCGTCTTAAACAGAAAACCTTACCGAAGTTAGTTAATTTCTATTATTACTAACAGTACCAAACTATTTTCGTTAGTTGTTGTTAGTTTTTCAATAATACTAGATGTACAAACAAATTTTACAAAAATTTATGTTGATACAAAATGAATGGAAGAGTTAATACAAAAAGTCAAACTTATCATAGTCATAATTCCATTCATTTTGTGCTACATCAGTTTGTACACAAATCATTGTAAGATTTGTTTGTACATATAACATTACTCAGTTACTCTTAGTTTTTACTATCAAAATTGTGTGTTTTGCCTCAACCCTACATTTTAATAACACGCATATGTTAATGTTACAAAGGCTTTAAGATAGAAAGATCAAAGTCGTGGGTTTTCATTCGTAAAAGCTACAGCTCTTCTCTTAAGCTTAGTTTTTCAATTCAAGACTAAGCTTAATGTAACTACACTGACTTGAGAACTTATGTTCGTCCCATATTGTGTTGATTGTTGATAACAGTGAATGAATATTAAGTTAACATAGATTGACGTAGATGGACAAAGCTAGACCCTTTATTATGTCTTATTACTGTCAAAGTTAAAGGAGAAATTTTTTGAAAGCCTTATTTTGCTTTTAGGAATTTAATTTTTATAAATATGGGACAATTACATTTTCACCAACAAGGTTTGAGGTAACGCCATGAATGCATACTACCGATGGAGGCAATATGCTGCATCCGCCATTGATTTACTGAATTTGTCAGAAATAATTACTATTTAAGAAATTTTATGATTTACTGAAATTTAGGTTCCAATAATGCAATTGAATTTCATATTACTAAATTAATTCTTGTTAACTTTTAAGACTTTGCTTATTTTCTTTTCCTTGATAATAATAGAACTAGAGACTTTTTATAATTAGGTTACTAAACAAAATAGTGAATACTAATTTTATGAATGATTGTTGATGTTTTCCTTTTGGCTAAAGGGTATGCCTTTGAAGATGAGGTAGATGATCTGCTACTGCTAGATTTGGAGTTCAAATTGGAGTTAAAGGAGAAGTTCACTTCAGTCATATCTTTGGAGCTTATGAATTAGGTATAAGTAAATGTGTGAATTAGTTTTATGTTTTTGGAAGGGTCACTAGGTTGTGGCTCTGGTTTCCATGAATTTACCACAACTCAATAGGGGCTGTTGGTAGACTTTATTGTAATTTAAATCTATCTTATGCAAGAAGTCTTATATGGAAATTTGAGTACATGGTTCAATAGAAGTTCTATTAGGATTCATAAGTTTGTCCTTACCATTAAAACGCTTCCCAAGTAATATCTGTGATGCACTGTAAATCTAATACATAGATGCTGACATGTTTTTTCACTGCTAAAACGAAATCGGATGATGAGCCAGATTGGAGGATTTTGCTTCTCTATGATTTCAGGATTCTTTATCTTCATGCATTCATGGATGCTTATTGTCAGGTAAGACTGCATAATTATCGGAATAATAAATTAATTTGATAGATATTCCTAAGAATTTATTGATTCATCATGAACGTGAAATGATAGAAACTAGTTTGTTTTGTACTCAAGTATGTTTTTGTTGATACAAGTAGGTCTATTATAATCATTGTGCACATTCAATGTAAAACTCTTCAAATTTCATGTCTTTGATGAATTGTAAGTCTAATGCCCTTTATGCTGGCCTGCACTTTGACTTCGAAATTGAACCTAGTAATTAAATATACAGAAAGCAGAAGCTCTAGAAGCCAGCTGAAGAAAGTTTCAACAAAACAACTGTTGTAGGCCAGCAACTGAAATGAAAATAGTAACCAATTTTGTCATTGAAATTGAAAGTTGGCGAGACAACAAAATGTAGACTTGTGAAAGAACAATAATTTTGGGATATCATAAATTAAACTTTAGATAAAAGTAGGGTTCAGTATGCATGATTGCACAAAGTTGTAGAGAAAGACATTAGAAGAAATCTAAAGTGTGTTTGCTGTAGGTGCTCATGAATTTGAAGATCATCTCATAGGTTTATTTTTTTTGTTCTTCACCTTTCATTTCTATTAAGAAAGAATATCCTGATGAATTTAAGAAGAAACTGAGTCCTGAGTATGTTTGCTGGAAAAGAATTGACATTGCTCTTCGATCTCCTAATCTCTGTTCAGTTTTGTATCTAAATTATTGTTTTCATTTGGAGTCTGAACAAATTTAGACAATTTTTTATTTTGAATCGAAAGTGAGGACTACAAACAACTAGGCATGATTTGTTGTTTAACAGTATTATATTCTTGGGATTATTTGCAAAGAAATTTTTTTAACTTTATTTCTTTCTAAACTTTTGATTTTATTTTAGGCGTAACGGTGGTGGGGAGAATATAGCAGAAGTGAAGAAAAATGTTACTTTAAGAATAGAATGAAGGATATTTATGGAAATAAAAAAAAATTGAAACTTTTTAAATAGGATATCTTAAGAAATGAGGCTTCTTTAATCCATTAGTGGGGTCAGGGGTGTCAATAGCTTCACTCTATATTTAGACAAAGAATGATATTATTTAAGCCTCACTTAAACTCTTTTTAAGTAGGGGTGTTTATTAGTTCGAAAAAATTAAAATCAAGTCCAATCCAAATTGAATAAAAACTAAATTGATTTCATCTAAATCTAATCTAATATACATCCTATTAAACTTTTTGTCGTTAATTAATTTAGTCACATAAAAACAATTAATAAAATAGAACTATTAGTAAATTAGTAATAAAATAGTTTTCTTATTTCTAAATTAGTCGTTAAAGAACTATTATATTATTTAAACATAGTGGAATGATTATATTCAAAATTTTAAACAAATAATTCTATTATAGAGAGACATAAGTTGGTTTGTCCATTACAAAGATAAAGTAACAAATAAATAATCCCATTAAAATAAATCTATCAAATATTAAAAGTAAAGTTTATTGTCACATAATAACAATTAATAAAATAGACTAAAATTTATAAATTGAAAAGCATTATTGGATTGGATTGGGTTTGAATTGGATTTACTTAGCAAATCCAATAAATACTGAATTCTCCATATTATATAACAAATTATAAATTGGGATTCATATCTCAAATTTTTGTGCAACTTTTTGTGCTAATTGGGAAGATCTCCCAATTAGCGCAAAAAATTGTACAAAAATTTGAGATATGAATTCCAATTTATAATTTGTTATGTAATCTCGTGAATTCAGTATTATATCTTTAAAAGCATGAGGTGGACTATCATTTTGTGTTGGGTTGGGGATGAATTGACTTTCTTTGATGTAGGAATTATTGGGCTTGAGCCTTTCTAGATGGGCTTTACGTGTCAGTGATCTGCGTTGACATCGGTGTTGGGCTAAATGAGTGTTGTCCGTATGATGTAGTGTTGCTGTGTTGGTGGATCATCAGTGGCCTGGCTTGATCACGGTTTTGGTGGGCTCGTCTTGGGTGGGTGGGTTTACAAGACAGGATGTTGCATTAAGACAAGCTAGTCACCCTGTCAGTGTCAGGCAATAGAATAAAATTTAAAAACATGTACCTCTCCTAAAGTATTCGAAATTATAATAGATCCAAAAGTTGGGCATATTTCACAAAAATATCCCCTGTTGTCAGTTATTGTTTCCCCCTGTTGATTGGGTAAAATTGCTACAATTTTTTGACCCATAATGTTTCTTCTACATGTCCAAATTCTATTTCCATCTACATGTAAATAAAATATCCCAGATTTTAAATTTTTTAACCTATTTCATATAAATCAATTCAATTTTTCAACGAAATGCAGAGACCAGAGAGAACAAATCAATCTCACCTCACCACCAGAGATGAAATCAATCAGAACTCTTCTCTCCTTATTTTCTCTATAATCCTCAAATGATGCGCAGCTTTCTTTGTAAAGCTTGTGAAGAGAGGAATTTTGCAGAAATTATGTGAATTGTTCGGATTACAGCAGAATTCATCTCCTTTCTTGAAAGAATAACTCACTCACAACTTCACTTACAAGTTTATTCCAGTTCTATCTGTGTAAGTTTCTTTTATTTCTTAAATTAATATAATTTTTAATTCTCTACTTTTTTTTTTTTAATTAAGTTTAATCTTCACTGATGGAATAAATTGGATGTGTTTTGACAACGTATATTGGATGTATTTTAGTTACAGAAATGAACTTTTTACAAACCTTCATTGATGATGATGGACTTAAGAGAGCAGATGAAATTTCACCTGCACTTTTGAAAGCAATTGAAGAATCAAAGATTTCAGTAATCATTTTCTCAGAAGGATATGCTTCTTCCAAATGGTGTTTGGATGAACTTGTGAAGATTCTTGAATGCAAGGAAAAGAATGGCCAAGTGGTCATGCCGGTCTTTTTTCATCTCAATCCATCAGATGTGAGGAAACAAACTGGAAGCTTTAAAGATGCTTTAGCCAAGCATGAAAAAAATTTCAAAAAAATGCCAGAAAAAATCCGGAGGTGGAGAGCTGCTTTGACTAAAGTGTCCAATCTATCTGGATGGGATTCAATGGAAATTAGGTAATTAAGTTGGACCCTTTTCTATGTATAAAATTTTATGTACTTAGTTCTGTTTTAAGTTACAGACAATGATCATAAAAGGAAGACCTATTAGTGGCCTGGTAGTCTAATGGTATTCTTTATTTTTTTATAAAGAGAGGTATTAACAATGATATTATTTATCTCGATAGCTTATATACAATTATAAGTCTCGTTTGCAGTATTTTATATTAATTATTTTGCTTCTATATGGTCATTGGTATAACTCAGTATTTCTCTTTGTAAATGCTAGGCTTGAGTCCAAACTTGTAGCCGAAATTGTCAAAGAAATATCGAAGAAATTAAATGACATATCACCCCCAAGTGATTGTGAAGGCTTTGATGGAATAGGTTCCCACATTGATCGTATTGAATCCCTTTTAAGTATTGAAAAATTAGATTTTAAAATTGTAGGGATTTGGTATGGGTGGTATAGGTAAAACAAAAATTGTTGGAGTTGTGTTTAACCAAATTTCTAGCCAATTGAAGATTGCTCCTTCATTGCAAATGTTAGGGAAGAATAAAAAAGATGTGGATTAGTTCATCTACGCAAGCAACTTCTTTCCCAGTTACTAGGTGAAGAAAATCTCACCTTAGGTACTCCAATTATATTTAATAGGTAAAAGAATTATATTTAAAAGCAACTCTTATTACTCTTAATCTCTCCTATTGTAGTAATCTCTCAATGTTTCCGCAGATTTCAGGGAATATAAAAGAATTATATTTAACAGGTAATGCAATAGATGAAGTTCCCTCATCAATTGCGTGTCCAACTGAGTTAAATTCATTACAATTGTGGAAGTGCGAACGACTTAAGAGTATATCCAGTAGCATTTATAACTTGAAATCCCTCCATACTCTTTCTCTTTGGCGTCAGAATTTCCAAGAGCAAATTATTATCCACTATCGCATGTTGGAAGGAATTTAGAATTTTATCCTTAGGTTTCTGCAATATAAAAGAAATCACTGAAGATCTCTTTTGTTTATCTTTATTGGAAAAATTAAATCTAAGTGGAAACGTATTTGAGAATCTTCCTACAAAGAAACTTTCTCAGCTGAGATGGCTATGGTTACGCTATTGCAAGAAGCTTCAATCAATACCAGAGGTTCCACAGGCACTAGAACATTTGGATGCAAGCAATAGCAGGCGACTCTAATCAATGCCAGTGCCTCCATCAAATCTAGAAAGAATCAAAACTAGTGTAAAACCTGTAATACACTTTTAGTGTCTTTTACAATAATTTTATTTTAAGGTCAAAATTTTCAAATAATTATTCATGTTTTTGTATTGACCAATGTACTAACTTATTGGGTTTTCTTGCTTGCTGTCTAAGCCCAATGTAACGTTACGAAACTTTTAGCCATTGCAAGCCTATCAATGTCCATAGAACTTAACATTACCATCATTGCATAAGTTAATCAATAAAACTCGTTTCAAACAATGATTCAATCCCACAAACAATAGATTATCTTAATGTTAGGAAGAACCAAGCAGGTATGCGACTAAACCACTCAGCAACACACCAAATTAAAATAATTTAGAAAATGAATAAATACTCATGATAGAAATTATTTAATTTTCAAATCCTCTTTGGTACTTCGTTCTATCTTTAATTTTCATTTTCATCTTCATCATTGATATTGTTTTCCATTTCCTCAAAAGCATCTTCATCTTCATCCCTGTCATTATTTTCAATTTCCTTGAAAGTATATTCACCGTCATCATTGACACTGTTCATTTTCGCTTGTGATTGTTGCATGTAAGTACAACAGCACTGAAGTCTCCCAATTTGTAACTTGGAAAGCAAGAGGAGGCTCTCATTTTGGGCTGGGTTTGAGGGTGATTCAACTTAAGTTAATGCAGGTGGTGTTGGGCGTAGACCTTTCTTAGGTGGGCTTGAAGGTTTAGTGATCTGGCTTGATGTGGGTGTTGTTGGGCTCTTCTTAAAACAAACTGAGCTCAATTTTTCTTTTTTCATCTTCAACATGCTTTTAAGATTTTGATAAAAGTTTTATAAAAAAGCACTATTTAATTAAAGTTACTATCATGTAACAAGATAATAAAGTCAGTCTTAAGGAAATATTTTTATTCTGTTTATTTTACTAATTTGTGGGACCTTTTATAATAACCTTTAATTTCTAAAAGCCAATTTCTTTTTTCCTGTTATAAATTTTAAATAAGTAATATCACAATTACAAAATCTTCTAACAAAGAGTTCAGTTGAATATAAAGTGATGTGATATTATTATTTAAATGAAACATCAATTAATGAGTTATCTTTGTATATTCACTTTATCGATTATATTTTGCCACATCATTTTGTGTAATATTATTCATTTTAAATGCTTGCTTTATTAGTATTATGTACTGATTGATTTAACACAACTCTCTTGTGGAATAATGAAATCCAAAATTATTTTTCCTTTTATTGCAACTTGGTCTTGCAACGGACATGTTCTCTTTAATTAATTTCTCAAAAATTTCCTTGCAATTAATCTATAATTTCAGCAAAGTTAATTTGTTGATGAAGTTGTTGAATTCTCACATTAACTTGACCAAGACTTGCATATTATAATCCACCGTCACTTTAATTTGATTTTGATATTTATCCATCATTCTTGATATTATAAAATTAATTAAGAGTCTAATTTATTAACCATTTGAATTTTTTAATTATGTAGACTATTAAAGTAACTAGTTAACATGGTATATTTCTAAGAAATTTCATGACACTTTTGTCAATAATTTCAAACAAATTGGTAATTACCTTCATCTCTAATGAGTTGAATTCAATCATAAATATGACATTTCATTTGTACTATTATTGCAATTATTTCAGCTCTAATGAAGCCTTGGGAATTGATAGAAACAATCGGCCTGGATGAAAACTAATCGACGGTTGTGATTTACATGTAACATTGTTCAAGTCTACATCAGCTTCTCGTACTTGCATCATACAGCTATCGAAGAGCTTTGCGTTTGGTTCCTTCAGGCTTCAGCAGCTTTGCCTTGCTTCTGAACCTCAGCAGGTAATTGCAACATTTATGAATTAATTATTATCTCAAATCATTTTAATTCTTCTGGTAAATGTTTATCATATGGATTAATTATATGAACCTCAACAGGGAGGTCGATGAGTAGTCTTGTCGTAGGACAGTGAGGCAGATGACTTTTGTAAAAGTAAGGGCAGGTTCCGGGGTCTAGCTATATTAAAGTTTGGGACGGTGAGGGGAGATTCCTCCAATAATTACTTTTTAATAATTTTATTACAGTTAAATAACTTAAAATGTAAGAGAAAAGAAAAGAAAAAAGCGAAATAAATTGAAAAAATAGAGTAAAATTGACTACAATTTATATTAAATATCTTATTTACAAAGACAATTAGAATTAAATTATTTTTAATTTAATTTTTAAAATATAATCATATAAGTAATTATTTTATATTTAAAAATTACCATTAGAATTAGAAATCATGAGCATGATTAAACACAAACAATCAAGTTTTTAAAAAATAGGTGCCTTTTTCCCTATTTTTGCCCTATTTTATTCTTATCATTTTCTTATATATGTTTGTTTTTCTATTATGAAAATACTATTATATTTTATTCAATTATTTTATACTCTTTAAGTTTGTTAATTTAACTAAACACCTTCAAAAAAAAGTTTAGAAATTGACAAAAACACTCATACTCACTCATATTTGCTAGATTCCGACCACCATTACCGGAAAGTGATTGGAATATGGTATAATGGCACACTACCAGCTAGATCTAGCTGGTAGTGTGCCGATATTGGCCAGATCTATTGTTAAAGACCTAGCCGTTGACGATCGGATCTTTAGCCGCAACTAGTCGTTAACGACAACCATATCTTTGGCAGTCGTTGATGATCAAACACGACCACATATGGCCGTCAATCTGACCGAAAAAGGTCAGCTTGGTGTACGATCAACTAGATCCACTCGGTCGTGCACCGATACTGTGCCTCTGACCACCCTCTAGTAGTTGTGGTCAGCTTAGAGGGTGGTCAGCTGTTGGTATTTAATGGGATGTTTTTGTAATTTTCTATATTTTTATTATAAGGATATTTAGTAAATTAACAAACTTAGAGGGTATTTTTGTTAAATTTTAAATTTTACCTCGTTATTACCACTCAACTCATACTTTTTCAAAAATATTATTCAAAATACTAAAACAAACCCACCAGGTTAACAAGTGTGCTTTCTAATTATTTCTTTAATAAAGTTGATACATATTTTCCTCCCTAAAGTCTGAGGACATTGTTTTGTAAAATAATTTGTTGAAAACTAACTGCTAAAGGGTATATATATCTTTTTAACCCTTTCATAAAATTTTAGGGGGAACGACTCACACATACCTAAAATTTGTTGTAAAGACAAAGTGGTATCCAAAAGGTTTGGAAATGACAAATACCCATTTTCTATCATGTTATGTTAAGAATTTTCATCTGCTAAAAGACAAAAATGGTGAAAAGACTGGAATACCCACCGATCTCCATTCTCACCGCACGCCAGCAAAGGTCAGTGCCACTGTTTATCATCGAACTTCTCAGAAAAATGCTAAATTCGGTCAAAAAATCGATTGATGTCGCAAGAGGGCTATACAAACGGGCTTGGGGTAAGAATTGAATTACTATACTTTCTTTTAGTAGACATAAATCTCTAACAGAATACGACAGAAAGTATTTGTTTTTTATTTTTAATTTTTTTTTGGTATCAATCTGTCTTTATGCCAAACTTTGGGTAGGTGAAGTCGTTCGGCCAAAATTTTAAAAACAATGGATGGAGATATGACATTGACAAGACAGACATCAAGGCCCACACTCAAACAAAGGAATTGAAAATCTGAAATAAAGACCTAGAAATTGACCGAAATAAAGACCTAGAAATTGACCAAAACAATCCACCCACACTACTGGATTATGAAAACTATTGGACGACTGTGATTTACATGTAATGCTGTTCAAATCTATATCAGCTTTTTCATATGAATAATACTACACATACATCATTCCCATACAACATTATGTGGCAAGATGTGATTGGATGAAAGTTTAATTTTAACTTTAAATTAACCAATCATATCTTGCCACATAATGTTGTATGGAAATGATGTATGTATAGTATTACTCTTTTCATATATACTTGCAAGTCTACGTCAGCTTCTCATTACTTACATCATACATCATGCTCAGCTATCAAAGAACTTTGCGCTTGATTCCTTCCTTCAGCAGCTTTGCTTTGCTTCTGAACCTCAACAGGTAGTTGAAACATATATGAATTAATTGTTTTTCTTAAATGAAGAATTTATTATCTCAAATTATTTTAATTCTTCTGGTAAATGTTTATCACTTTATACATGTAATTGCAACACATATGGATCAATTATTTTTCTTCCATATTGTACACCTCTTTATAAGACTTTTCCTCATTCAATCCCTTAATTTCAAATAATAATTGAGGCATTATTACAACAACTAACTAAGAAGCAATTTTAAAAAATATGGTATTTAACACAACTTAAAAGAATTAATGAGTAACTTAATTAATTGACCACCATATATACAAATTCAATAATTATAAAACATGAAATAATATATATTTGAAGTACACAAAAACAGTGTTATAGGTTTCTTCAATGTGCCATATTCAATTGTTTGGCGATTGTACTCAAAAGGTTTTAAAATGACAAACAGGTACCTTTTGTTAGTGAGAAGACTAGAATGCCCTTTGAGAAATATTAGTCTACTTTTTTAGTTACTTTTAGACCCCTTAAGTTTATTAATTCCATCAAATACCCCCAGAAAAAAATTTAAAAATTAACAAAAACACCCCCTACCCATACTTACCTGATTCTGGTGGCCACTGCCGGTGGTAGCCGGAATCTATCACAATGGTCTATGCCACCACCAAAAATGGCTGGTAATTTACCGATCTGGACTTTTCTACAGTGGATCTGGCCGGAAAAGGCCAGATCTGACGTGAAAATGCCAGATCTGGCTGGAAAGTGACGGCTAAAGAAATGGTCATCGTTGACTGTCAACGATGGGACAACGACAGTGCGGCCGTCGACAGCCAGATCTGGCCGTAGATCTGGCCTTTATCAGCTTCTCATATATACTTACGAGTATTCGTCA